ACTTTCTTTTGCTACAAAGGATGTTACTGCAACGATAGAGAAGTCGGAATAAGGTCTTAGATGGGATAATAGTATTGTGTCAACGTTAATTTCCTGCTTTTGATAACGGTCCTGCAGTGAGATAACAGAATATCCTCACTGTTAGGAAATACACAACAGAGTGTTTGGAGCTGAGAAGCATCATGTCTGCAACTGACCCCAGAGCAGCTCAAGGAAAACACCGCGCGGATGGACGGAAGGGCGGGCAGCTAGCTAAGGGTGGGCGCGTAGCTAAGGCAGACAGAGACAGACGGTGTAAAATGTTCACCTTTGGGGAACAAATGTATGAAAATATATAGGAATTTTTTGTAGTATTTTTGTAACTTTCCTGTAAGTATGAAATTATGTCAAAATAAATTTTTTCTGAAAAGAACAATCTCTAAAAATCTAAAGCAAAAAGAAACAAATGAACCCAACACCGTACTGATTTGAGGACATCACCACAAAGAGGGGAAAAAATTCTTGCAAGTGACTGTCAAACACGCTAATCTGTAGCTCTCCAGTGGGACACGCCGTAAGGACAAAAGAACTAGAAACAGTCACAAACTGGCGGTAGCAAGCCTGTGGCTGGCAGCAGTACCGGCATGTTATCCTGAGACTTGTGTGTATTATCGTGGGATTGAACAAATGAGTAATGCTGGTGACACTCACCGAGAACCAGGATTCCAGCACCAGAGAAAGACAAAGACGTGGACGAGTTGAACAGAAACCCAGGAGTCCCGGATGAGAATTCCAAGCAAGGCACCTGTACGAACTCACGACGCCCCAGCCCTGGCCGCCAGAGAGGTCGCTATGACCAATCAGCAGCAACGAATGTTAGGATCCTTATTCAGTCTGTAAACACCACTTCTACCAAAAGGAACCAGGGCGTTTTTGAGAAACGGTTAATTCCAGCACCGGAGCAGAGAATGCTGGAGACAAGCCTGGGATATCTGGTCACACTGAAAAGCAGGGGGTCTCTCAGGCCACCATGGATTGTGTCGAAGGACTCAGAAGCCAGCTGAAAGGCTCCACAGCCCAGAGGCAGAATTATTTGAGCACCAATCAGATAACAGCCCCCACGGGTGGATGCGGTGGCGCACACCGGCAATCCCAGCACTTTGAGAGGCTGAGACGAGAGGATCACTTGAGCCCAGGATCTGAAGCTGCCGTCAGCTATGATGATGCCAATGCATTCCGGCCTGGGCAATAGAGTGATTGAGACCCTGATTCAGAAGAAAAAAAAAAAAAGAAAAAAAACAAACCCCACCAACCTACAATGGTTAAACTACATCAAATGTGTTTAAATCCACCATTTCAATATGATACCAAAAAACCCCACGAAAGCCCGACACCCTCCCGGGTCACCTTTGGAGGATCGTCTAAGCAGAGAATTCAACTCATTATTTTGAAACTGGAGAGTAAGTGGGGAAAACTCCAGCACACATCCCACCTTCCCTACATGAACTACACCCGGGGGGAACCAAACAGGTGACAAAGGGAAGCATGTTTGCAGAAACGTGTCCTTTAACACACGGAGACGGGATGGCAGGGCCATGACTGTCAAGGTGGTGACGCTGAAGGGCGAGACCGCCCCACGGAAGCACACGCCGCCCCCCAGAGGGTCCTCCCTCGAAGGTCACCACATCACTACGGAGGTGTGGGCAGCGCAGGGGACCGACCGTGGCAGGCCGTGTGTCAAGTCCACGGGGAGGGTCGGCAGGGTCCAGAGAGTCCACCCGGCAGATGACCTGGTCAGCCAGAGACAGAGACAGCAGCCCCACGAGAGCCTGGGGTGAAGCCGGGAGACACCCCGGCACCCACGACGCGTGGCCTCGCCTGGCTGTGGACTCAAACGATTAGCGGAATCTGAGCTCAAGTTGGTTATCTCATAATATCAATGAAAAACTGGTTTTGGGGTTTTTTGTTTTTTTTTTAGCTGTGATACTGGACTCATGGCTTTCATCTTTAAAACTGTCTGTCTACTGAGCTGTCTGCTGAAATATTTGAAGGTGGAATGGAATATCAGGGGTGGGCAGAGGACGGCAGCTGGCCCGCAGTCGACTCCTGTGGGAGCGGAGGTGGGCTGCCACACGAGAGGCTCGCGGCACTACGTGCTCCACGTCTGTATACGTTAATATTTGAAGTTCTCCTTAACTAAAAAATGATGCCCATAACTGCCACACCACGGGCTGTCAAAGTTGAACTCACGAGCTACCAGGGAGTAAAACAGGCCACTCGTTGGGCAAACGCTGGGGACAGAATCACAAGTGCTGGTCCAAGGACGCTGGCAACAGTGGTCCGTGGCCGGGGTGGTCCCTTCCCTCACGGACCCACTCGGCCCCAGAGTGGGTTCCAGCTGTCTTCATTGTGCAGCCTCATCCCATCCCGTCTCAAAGTTCATGGGAGTGGACAAAAGTGGACAGGCGTCCCGCTGACCTGCGCGTCCACTGCCCGCACACCCCGCCCAGGATCCCCTTCTCCCGGAAGCCTCCTGGTCCCCCAGCCTGGGGGCTCCCTGTTAGACACTCTCAGACCCTTCCCCTTCATTGAGCTCACTTGCTCTGCGAACGTGCAGCATCAAGCCCCAGGAAACTACCAACATTCTATTCCTCCCGCGCCAGGAAACCGCCAATATTCAACCACTTTGACTCACAGAAAGGCAATTTCACGGGGTTCCCCAAAATGACGAGGCAGCATCTTCTACCTGATGACTTCGTTAGGGTCTGTCCAGGTGTGCTCTCCAGGCGCCCCGAGAACAACCTCCACACAGCAGGTCCCTGATCGCGACTGGCTGAACAACCAGCCCGGGGAAGCCCTGACTGCGCTGCCCAGGGCACGGCCTGCCCTCTCCGTTTACGAAGACACGGGGGGTGGGGCGCTCCCCTGCAGGAGGTCAGCACCGTTCGAGGTCACAGGCAGCAGGCCGCCAGGATAGTAATCAGGGGCCAGCCAGCTGCCAGCAGCTCCAGGCAGCCTGACCCTCTCCGCCCAAGCTGGCTCTACGACAACATAAGACATGTGGGGAAATCAAGTCACTCCACAGCGTGGCCAGGGAGCGTCACCAGAGCTGTACCGAGAATCACTGACGTCCAATCCCTGGGGCCCACGGCAGGTGCTAGAGTATGGACAGACACCCACATGTGCACTCAAGCATGGCTGACTACTGCTGTACACACACACAGTTAACTAGTGCCATAGTTAACTAGGCACATGCAGAGGTAAGTACCGCCATACATATGCACACACAGTTAACTACAGCTGTATACACATATTCACATGTACATGGTTAAATATGGCCACACACGCACGAACACACAGTTAACTACCCCTGTAAATACACAGAGTTAACCGCTGCCACACACACACACACACACACACACACACACACAGTTAACTACCCCTGTAAATACAGAGTTAACTGCTGCCCCTCCCCACGCGCGCACGCGTATACACACACACACAGTTCATTACTGATCTCCAGCCTGTTGCCAGGTGAACGCACAGCTGTGTGGACTGACCTTTGACCCTCAAGCACCAGGTGAGTACACAGACACACTGGAGCCAGGCCCCCAGCCCCCTCAGCCTGCAGGTGTGGCAGGTGGGAGCCCCGGGAAGACAGCACCTCAGCTGTTCCCTCCCAGCCTCGCAGCCCCCACACGGCCCACCCAAGGAAGAGGCAAGGAATTTATTAAATAATAAAGTGAAAAAATAATTTTCCCCACAATACTTGACCAGCATAGAAAACCTGCGTCTACACTAACTAAAATGGACACTCTGCACCCAACTGGTGCCTGCTGAGGCTGAGGGCTTTCCTATGCAGGCCCCGGGCAGAAGAAGAGAGGCTCAGACTTTCTGAGACTCGCGGACTCCAGCCCAGCCTCTGAGGCACAACCAGCGCAGGCAGCGGTAACCACGGACAGAAAACCAGGATGATAACTCTTCCGGCAGAGGCACTGGACATCTGGCCCAGAGCATCGAGGGAGACCCCAGCTGAGCACGACACCTGCCTGCCCAGGTCCCAAGCCCCTGCCTGTCATAGCTGGGGTCCCGTCCCCCAGCACTGGGCACTGCTCTGTGTGGTTCAGAAGTGATCAGCTCTGGACACACAGGGATGAAGCTGTTTCTTCCTGTATTTTTTTCCTAATAGCATCACATCCACCATAGTGACAGCTGTGAACACACCATGTCATGCCACAGGGTCACCTGCATGGACTTTGGGGATCATCTCCCTGGTACTTTCTTACTAATGAGTGACCCCTAACTAGTCAGAGGACTTCACCTAATGGTACGGTGACTTCAGTTAACCCTCCGTGCCTCAGTTTCCCCATCTGCACAAGAGGGAGGACACAGAGGCGAGGAGAGAACATCAAAGCGATACATCAGGCTGGGCGTGGTGACGCGCACCTATAGCACCAGCACTTTGGAGGCTGAGGCAGGAGGATCACTTGAGCCCGTGAATTCGAGGCTGCAGAGAGCTATGATTGCACCACTGCACTCTATCTAGCCCAGGTGACAGAGCAAGCCAGGAATGCTTAGATGATGGACCCTGCCACTCTCCCTCCCGCCCTGACATGCAAACCAAACAGAATGTAAGATTTCAGAGTCCTAAAAAACTCTGAAAATTCTGAGCTAACCATTGGGAATGCAACAGACCCAATTCACTACAATAATCAGAATTTTTCCAGAATGTTTCATTCCTTCCCCACGACTCTCAACCCCACAGAGGAAGGACCCCCCACCAACCACACACGGACTTCATGCAGCAGCCACTGGGAGGCCCGGACTCAGGAGGTGAACGCCGTGCGTGACGCCCAAGCCCAGAGAGCCACACTGGGCCACAGCTGTCCCCCCCCACACCCAGCCACAGCACTGCCGTGGGTCTTCTCAGCCCCAGCTCCTGACTATACATCAGCAAGACAACATCCTGTCTCCACCACCCCTGCCTCGCCCCGTCCCTCCAAGCATGTCCTAGTACTCACGTAAGAAGTGTTTTTCCAATAAGGCGATTTCCAGGTGACCTTTGATCTCATTCAGTCGATCAAACTCTGTCCGGTTAAAGTCCTGGACTCCTGTGGCCATGATGAGTGTCCCAGGACCAGCCTGGAAGAGAAACACCGAGAGCTCAGAGGCAGCGCCCGCAAGCCTTGCGCCTGCACCAACCGGTTCCCTGAGAGGCGCCCGAGGGCCTCGGGACAGAGAAGCCGCAGCGTCTGAAAGGGACCAGCAGGTGCGGCCGCTGGACACGAGGATGGCATAACGGGCAGCCAAGTGATGGGTGCCCACCTGGTGCCTGCCTGAGCCATAGGGTGGGGGAGACGCCAGGTCCACCCTAAGACCCGCATCAGTCCTCCCTAGCCTCCGCCGTTGGTAGAAGGGACGTCCCAGACGACATGCATATACTCAGAGCCCCCATTAAAGCCAACTTTAAGAAATCATTAAAAAGTAAACCCAGACAAGTGGCACTAAGCCTCCTGATGGTCGTGGTCTCATCTCGGGCTGCAGAGGGAAGAAACGCCGGCGCTGTGCCGGCCAGCGTGCCGGAGCAAGGCCCTCGCCCCCCAGCTGCAGCCGGAGGCCACGTCCACAAGCCAGCCACGCCGAGTGAATCGGAGAGAACAGAACGGCTCCCGGGCAGTGGGGTCTGCGGGGAGCCAAGGTGAGCAAACTCCAGACAGGGCCTTGTCCTGTCTGCTCCACGAAGAGGGAATTAAACCACCACTCCCACCCCCATGGCCAGGGCAGGCTCCGTTTACAGCCGCTGCTGCCTCAAGCCCAGGGGCTGGGCACGGGGGCTGCTTCAGGTCCTAGTGATTGGAGGGAAAGGAGAGAGGCCACGCCCACATAGCCACGCCTGCCAGGGCCACAAAGTGCACATGCACAGTCGCTTTCCTGCCGGCCTGGCGAGGGATGGCACGCAAGTGCCCAGCACACAGCAGTGGGGACTCAATGTTTCCACCTCGGTCCCCAGGCCCCCCACCCCTAGGGCTAGGTGAGGGGACACCCAGGCTGGGCTGGGGCCACCTGAACAGCACCATGATCTCACCATGCACACGTGTGGCTGGCATTGAGGCCATAGCCTGGGAAGAAGGCGCCGACATCAGGAAGCAGCAGGTCTGGGCGAGGCCCTCTGGCCCACGGCTGCCCTGTCCCAACCTCCCGCAGGACGTTCAGCTGCTCTGGCTGCTGGGGCACGAGTTCCCAGGGCAGGTCCCGAGCCTTGTCTATCCACTAACCCCTTGAAGCCTGGCCGGGAAGAGGGCCATGGGCAGAGTCATCCACCTGTCCAGCCCACCTGAGGTGCCCTGAGGGTTCCACTCAGGGTCAGTCCCTGAACTGACGCTGGCAGATGGGGGCAGACACGGTGCCTTCTCTAGGAGGCCTTGGGGCATGGGTGCTGGAGCCGGGAGTGAGCCCACGGGTACCATCCAAGGGACAGAAGCTCCAAAAGGGGCCCAAGAAGTTCACGCGGCCCCACCTGTGCTGCAGCTAAAGCAGGGCGGACTCTCGCCTGGACTCCTCGCCGACCCCAGAAGCCCACAACGCAGGTGTGGGGCCCAACTCAAACACAGACACTGAGGGCCACATGCCACCAGCCCGCCCTGCCCTGCCTGCGCTACACTCGCTGGGCAGCTCAGGCCACCTGAGCGAAGAGGTTGGCGCCATCTTCTGCCTTCACCCTTCCTGTCCCCACACCACCCCCAACCCCCACTCCCCTCCCTGCATCTACCTGGGGCTGGTTCCAGGACACACATGTGGATCTCTCCACCTCTGTCTCCCCTTCCCCGGCCCCTTATCCTTGTAGCGTCTAGAAGTTTTTCCCCATTTTCCTTGCATTCGAGTCAAATCGAGCTGCCCTGCCCCCAGCCGTGGTAAGGCAAGGCCAGAGACGGAGTGCAGCTGTCTCAGGAGGTCATGAATGCAGAGTTGAAATGAGAGCCCCAGCCGGGCACCCCTGCAGCCTCGTTCCTGCCCAGAGGAACCTGCCACCCTGTGCAGGGCCACTTCGAGAGGACATTTTTTAAGTACTTCGCTCACTCTGTTTACAGTGTCTCCCTGCAGGTGCAGAGGCCAAGTGTGGCACTTGGGGCCAGCAGGCCTATTACCTTCCCCATCTGCCGAGAGACCAAACACCACCAGGTGGTGACTCGGCTGAGCCCAGCCAGACGGTGGCCCAGGAGTGGGCACAAACCACGCAGGACGGTCGAGGCCCTGCCTGGGAGACATCCAGCATTTATTATGAACTATCCAACCCAGAAGACGGCAGGAACAGAACCAAGTGCACCAGGGCCACCACCACGCTGACGACAGAAAACACCCCCTGCTCAGCCGGGCCCCACGGGCCTGTCCCGCCCACCTCCTGCCCACGCCCCACGGACACCCGGCCCCGAGCCAGGGTTTGTCTTTCCCACGACGCGTCTCCCTGGGATTTTCTCAAGTGACGTTGGAGAAAGGCGGCCCCTCTCCTCTTGGTGACAAGGCAAGGCTGGGACCCCGAGAAGCCTGGGGACTCCTGTCTGCAGCAGCGGCAAGGACGCCAACCCACAGAGACAGGCCGGGCAGGAAGCCAGGGCCCCCACCTGCCAGGCGCCACGAGCCGGGCGCAGCCTTCACTTGCTGGTGTCCACATCGCGTGGACACAGTAACGTCCACCCGAGGGAGAGAGGAAGAGAGTGAGGGCCAGTCACCTGGAGGTCACAGACAAAGCCAGGATGTGCACCCACGCGCCTCATTCCAAGCCCGCCTTTACGGGGCTCCCCAAGGAGGACAGGAGACAGCTCTGTTCCGTGGCAAGGGTCCCGGCGCCCCACCTCAAACAGCACCTGCCTATGACTGAGGCACAGACAATGCAGGCACTAGGGGAGTGAGGGGGGCCAGGGTCCCCAGGAGCACCAGCAGGCAGAGGAGGGGTGAGGGGGCAGGACAGGAGCCTGGCGGCCTTAGGGCCCTAGGACCCCACATCTGGGTCCAACCCAGCCTGCCACTGACTCAGCATGACCTTGGGTGTAACTTAACCCCCCAGGGCCTCAGTTTCCTTATGTGTTGAATGGGCTGACGACCCTAGAAACCAGCCCCTGGCTGTGGTGTGGGGCAGACACTGACACGCCCCACGTCCCATACACCTCACAGGTGTGTGCCATCCCTGCAGGTGAAAAGACGGAAACAGGGCGGGCTGGGGCCACCTGCCCCCGGGGAGCCTGCGGTGATGGCGCACTCTCGGGACGGCCTGAGACAACCAGGCCCGACAGTGCCGCCCTTTCCCCAGCACATCAGCCTTGGCACGGCGGGTTCCGAGAGACCCAGGAAAGAGACAGAAGCTCGGAGGCGCCCATCCACCCCCGCACACTCTTCCCCGCAAACAAAGAGGGAAACGCGCACACAGCCAGGAAGAGGCCACTCAGACAGGCAGCTCCGCCCTGGAGCGGAGGCGGAATATTCAACCCCGCCGCGTCCAGCACTCTCCCCACCATGAAGAGGCGGCACGTCATTTGCTCCCCTCAGCTACACACAAATGCATTAAGCCCTGTCCTCAGACGGTCATCCCGGGGCCTGGGCCTGGGCCTCAGGGTGCAGGAGGGGCGGCAGCTCAGCTGGGTACCTGGGCAGCAAGGATCCGCCTTGCGGGAGCTCACCAGCAGACCCTGCTGGGGATATGCGGCCCCGGGGTGCTGGTCTGAACCCTCTGCAAGCCCTCGGGTCCCTCTGGCTGAGCCCTCTCAGGCGTACAGAGGAGCCACCCTGAGCTGGGAGTCAGAGGCCTGGGTCGGGACCCCAGGCCAACAGAGCCACCGAGGCTGCGGCATCACCACCATAGAACCAGGCTCTCGGTTCTTCCGGCTCTCCTAGAACTGTCCCCCAACTTCCACCTCAACGGAAACCTGTAGCCCTCTCGGGAGGGGCGCTGGGCCTTCTGGGGACTCTCTTCCCGCTCCTGCCTCTGAGATGTCTCTCCCATGGGGGCTCCCCCAGACGCGGCCCCAGCTCTAAGGACACTGGTACCCACCTCCCCGTCGCCACCCCTCCTCCAGGCTGGCCCTGGCCACACAGACGACTCTTCCGTCCTTACCTCCTGTGCCCGGCTCTGCTCCCTGCCCCTGGCCACACCCTGGCCTGGACATCACCCCAGAATGCTGCACACCTGCCTCAAGGGGCCCGCAAGCCCACCCAGGACCCCTCCCCTCCCCGTAAGGTCTGGACTCTGCCCTTGACCCATCCACACAGTGGATGTTACCCAGCCATAAAGAGGAGGGAAGCACTGACACCAGCTACAGCACGGGTGAGCCGTGTGCACCTCACGCCAAGTGAGGGAACCAGTCACAGCCCACGCGTACGTGGCTCTGCTTACGTGAGACGCCCGCAACAGGCAAACCCACAGGCAGGAAGCAGACTGGTGGCTGGCGGGGCTGGCGCAGAGGGAAACAGGGAGTGACTGCTGAAGGGTACAGGGTCCCTTCTGAGGTGGCAAAAATGTTCTAAAACTGACTGCAGTCATGGTCACGTGAACACGCTAGGAAGCCCTGAGTTGCACACTGTGGACAGGTCACCTGTGCTGTGTGGGCACATCTCAACACAGCTGTTGGGAAACCAACCCGGAGGCCATGGTGCTAGCGCCAGGGTCTTGAGATGTCCCCAGGAGGCTGTGCAGGGGGGAAGCAACGCACCCCAAGGAGGGCGACGGGAGGGCGGGCTTGGGGGTGGCAGGCACCCACCGCACCCCACCCCGGGGACCTCAAGAGCACGACCAGAGCAGGTCTACATGCTACAAGAATGAGGCGTCACCAAAGAAGCCTGGGCCCGGGAGGGTTGCAGGAGCAGCATGGCATGGTCGTTAACCATGACAGCCACCTGCACACCAAGGATGAGCCAGACACGGGCTGAGCACTTTTCACGTATCGCCTCATTTCATCCTCCAAGCAGGCCTCAGAGGTAGATATGATTTCATCCCCTTTTAAAACTGAGGACACTGAGGCTCAGATCAAGGTTAAACAGCTGAACAGCCTGGCCCGGCCTCTCTGCGGTCGGTGTCTGACCCGCATTCAACATGAGCCCCCAGGCCAGGGCCATTTTCTGCCACATGACTTTCCTTCCCGTGATTCCATCTGCATCCCTGTGGTGGTTTCCCTCTCCGCCGCCCGCGGCCACAAGGAAGGGGAAGCAAAGTCCATACACCGACCTTGCCCGGCCTCTTCAGCATTTGTCCCCCACACCCCCAGCTGCAGCGCAAGCAGCCAGGCCCCCTCCCAATTCAACACGTCACCCGAGGACCCTTCCATCCTCGTAGACAGCACCTGCTGGTCAGACCACAGCCTGCCTTTCGGTGAGCCCCTGCCCATCCCACCTGCACCACACCCTGGCAGGGTCCCCTGGCTCCCCCAGGAGCCACATTCTCCAGACCACTCCCCAGTGACCCACCCTAGAGCAGCCAGCTCTGACACTGACCCTCCCCTAGAGGGGCTCCCTGTGCCCCCAAATCCATACGCTCTGCCCCAGGCGAAGACCCCTGTGATCCGGCAGCCTTGCCTCCTGCTGCTCTAACCAGACCTGCACCTGCAACCTAGAGCTGCTCCCCTCTGCCCTGGCCCTCCAACTCACCCACCACGGCAGACCCCAGGGACCACGGCATCCCCCGGGGACGGGCCCCCTCCCTGTATTGGCCTTGGCAAGCAAAGCCACCTGAAGGCAAGACACAGAATCAAGCCCCTGTCCAAACCTCGCCATCCACCAACACCAAAGCACCATGCCTGCCACGGGGACCCCTGCCTGGCCCACATGACGTTGCCCCTGCTCCAGTCAGAGCCTCGGAGCCTCTGGTAGGCAGCCCCGTTCCAGCTGCACCACCAGCTGTATGCAGAGACCACGTCCAGCAAGAGGCCTTTGGCCGGCCAGCTGCTCGGACTGTCGCAGAGAGGCAGCGTCAGGCGCCAGGCACCATGCTCTTCTATGACAACACTGGTTATCTGCACAGCTGCCCAGTGGGCAGCGCTGCCGGACTGGGTGGCCAACCCAAGCCTGGCAGCTGGTGAACGGCCAGGTGAGGCTCCACCTGGGGGGCTGGCCCTGGAGACCCTCTGCACCACCTCCCTGCCCACCCCCAGCTCAGACACCCACACACTCAGAGGGGAGGGCCCAGCCCCACGTAGGGTCCAGGTCCCCACCTAGACAACACCTGGAGCAAAGCAGCTACCACACAGCCCTGCTGGACAGACAGATGGACAGAGTGGGAGCTGGGAGGACAGCCCAGCTTGAGCCTTTGCGTGGGATCCCTGCCGCTCCTCCCCGCTGAGCTTGGAAGCACGTGTTGGGGGCAATTTGCACACTCAGCCCAAAGACCTGAGATTCATGGCCCACAGTCCCCCATGCCAGCACTGGCCAGAACCAGACAAGACACAGCTTTCCCATCAAGGCGACAAAGCCTGTGGGAGGGGCACACGGTACAGTGAGGGGCACATGGCACAGCGGCCGGTGGACCAACCAGCCTGGGGCCGGAGGCCAGCGCCCAGGCAGGCGGGCACCCCTCCCGGCTCCATTGCACCAGCCCCTGCAGCAGAGAGGCCCTGCCCGCCGGGCGCAGGGGGAACAGCTGGCTCTCGGGAGGCGGCGCCAGCACGTTCTCAGTCCCTGCCAGGAGCTGTCCTGTTACAAAGCATGAATGACACAGCAGCCAGGGAAGGCCAGTGCTCGCTGGACATGTCTGGAGAGAAAACCTGGCTCAGGAACTGGGAGGAGACACCAACAGATGCCACACCTCATGTGCGCAGCGGGGCATGAGCCAGTGGTCACAACTGGCCAGAGCAGGGGCTGTGGTGAGCCCATCCCGCCCCCATGGAACACAAGCTTCCAGAAGGCAGGCCCCACTCGTGGTTCCCGCCCTGGCCCCCGGGCCTAGCTGACGTACTCATTTGCTGCCCCAGTGAGTAGCCCCCATGACTGGCCACAGGCCCAGCCCTGACCGCATAGGTGATAAGGGCCGGCCGGGGCTTAGCCAGCTGCCGGGGGGTCAGGGACACACACCCTGCCATGGCCAGACAGACCAGCCAGGTGCCAGCAGCTTCCAGACAGCACCCTGCCCCACCCCGCGTCCACGCATCCCCCATCCCCCATCCCCGCGTCCACGCTCCCAGGCCAGGGCTTCAGCGTCGCTTCTGCGTTAGACGTTCGCCAACCACCCAGGAAAACCAGTGATGGAGATGAGGAAATGCAGCTGCCAGGCCAGGCCTTGGCACAGAGAAGGCCCAACCAGGACGAGCCCCTGCCCGGCAAGGCCCACAGGGCAGTAAGCAGGACCGTCTGTCTCTAAGCGGCACAGCGGGACACAAATCTGCCTGTCCACGCTCAGTGTGGCCTTCAGAGGACTCGGATGACACCGCCAGCCCACACCAAGAAACCCAGAGGCAAGACCAGCACAGCGGGGTACTCACAGGGTCCCTCAGCTCCTCGCTGTCCCGGGGCGAGGTCCGAGGTATCTTCAGGGGTATTTCGTCTCCACATTCGGTGTCCGAGGCGTTTGGAGACTCTGCTAGATCGAGGAAGTCATCTCTCTTGTGACCTCTGAACCTGATCTTGTCCAGCCTCCTTAGCATGTTCAGCACCGAGCTCCTCCGCTTCACCCTAACATGACGGTCGGGGTCCCTGCAGGAGAAGGAAGGGCACCGTTACCTGCCAGCTCCCAGCACCGCCCCTTGCCCAGGCCCCATGCCCTGCGCTGTGACCAAGCCCCTGCGCTCAGCGAGTGGCCAGTTCAGCTTTTCAAAGAAAACCGCAACCCACAGACCTCGCCTCCCACCCAGCGGGCGGGGCCCGTCACCTGCACATGCACCAAGGATGGATGCGCCGTAGGGTGCCCACGCCCCACATCTGCCCTGCCCCGCCGCTGAGCTCCTCCCGCCGCCTCCCACCCAGGCAAGTGCCCCCAGCTCCTGGCCAGGCAGACCTGAGGTCTGGGCCCGGCCCACCAAGGTGGCTCCAAGACCCCAGAAAAAGGGAAGGAGGGCCAACCACTCCCAAAAGTTCCCCAACAAACTGTCAAGCACTGGGTGGACACTCCGGCCACATGTACTGCCTGGGACAGCAGCCAAGGCCTGGAAACTACGGGACCCTCAGCATCGGCCGTGCCTCGGTGGAGTCCCTGTGGGACAGGTGGGACCTGGCCCGAGTCCCACCCACTCCACCTGGCCCAGACTCCCAGGACCCCGACCGCCCTGCTCTGTCTGCCTCAAATGCATTTCTACTGTGGTCTGACCCTGGCTTGGCCTTTGAGCCTCCACTCAGATGCCGTTTCTTCCAAGAAGCCTTCCCAGAGAGCTGGGTGAGGAGCCCGGTGCTGGCTGAGCCTCCCTGGCCAGCCTGGGGCAACGGGGGAGAGGTCTGGTGCAGCCTCACACTGAGGTGTGGGTCGCTGTGTGTAAATCCACACACGTGTGTGCACCAAGCACGGAGGCACCGTAGGCCCACTCCCACTCTGCCCCGCTGGGCCAGGAACAAGGCAGCCCCAGTCCCAGGGGCAGGCTGAGTGCCCATCCAGCCAGCCCCACACCAAAGCCCCCGGGAGAGGCTGCCCCTGCAGGAGGGTCCCCCAGCCCCAACCCCCGTCTCGGTCACATGGCTCCCACAAACCCCAGCCCCGGACTTCCATGAGAAGCCTGGGTGCCCAGGTCCCCAAGAAGGGTGGGGCTCTGCACACACCTGGGCTGAGAGCCCGCCCTGCCACTCACCAGCTTTCTGAAGCGGGAATGACGCCAACGAGGCGCAAGAACTCTGAGAACCAGGATGACGCGTGCTGACTGGGCTGCGTGCAAGGAGGGAGGGAGGGAGGGGCCTAGCTGAGGTGCTTCCTGGAGGCGCAGGCAAGGAAAGGGCACCCGCTGGGTCACCATTGGAGGGGCAGCTCCAGCGGGACGTGCCCATCTGCAGCCCTGACTCAGCCCCCTGCCCCCAAGGCTCCTTGCAATCCTTGGTATCACGGCTCACGTCAAGTCACGTCAAGCCACGTCAAGAAAATCCGCTAGCAGCGGGGACCCCGAGACTCGGTCAGAGTGTTCCAGAACCGGCTCTGAGCAGCGACTGCTGAATTGCGCAGTCGGGGGAGGGGCCATGCGATGCTCCAGGATAGGCATTGCCCAGCTCGCTCAGAACGTCACAGGGTGGTCTGACACTGGCCCCGGCACAAACCCACAGGGAATGGGACCTACACAGGGTGGTCCAGACACCCAGTGTCCCCGGAAGTGGGCAGCGCTGCGGGTGACAGGGGAGGTGGCGTCCCTGCTCACACAGTGGGGACCTGTGCCCGCCATTTGGAAAAACATCACCCAGAGGAACTGTGAACCCCAGAGGGACTGAGGGTCAGTAAACTTAACAACACGCACAGCAAAAGGAAAGAGAACTCAGCGCTTATCAAGTCCCCAGAGAAAAGATGACAATCTATATTGAGACTGAGAAATAAGACCACAAAGTAACAAAGTCTAACAGACAACTGGAAAAAAGTACAAAACTTCCACTTGTTACAAAGTGAAAACTTAAAACCACGCAGTGAAACGGGATATAGGTAGCAAACATGTACGTGACGGGTTACTGTCTGCCACAAGACGGTTCGAATACGTTGGGGAAAACGACAAGACTGCCTTCCAACTCGTGTAAAACCTTCGACTTCACTAACAAGGAAACAAGCTAACCGGGGCAGCAGAACACATCAGGACCCGGGAACACAGACGCCCTCGGGACCAGCCATTCCACCTGCCGAGATCTGCACAATCCTGGGATCGAATCCCAGACGTGGAGAAGGTCTTGCCCAGGGCCACACGTCACCCACTGCCCGCTGAGACAGGCAGGGGGTCCTGCAAGGCCACTGGTGCTCGCACAGGACGCCGTTCCTGCGAAGTGAAAGGCACCTGCAACACGAGATCCCTGTGGTCACCATCATGGTGAACAGGCGTGTGGACTAACACGGGTGCCATGGGGCCCGTGTCACTGTTGGCTCACGGTGGCCTTCAGCGATTCTCTCTCTAAACGTCCTATAATGCCTTCCTATTGCCTTTCCCGCCGGCCCTATTTGTTTTACGGTAAAACACACGTGACACAAAATTTACCAACTTCACCATTTCTGAGTGCGCAGTTTGGTGGTGCTAACTGTAATGCGTCCAGGACAGTTGTGCATCTGTCTCCAGAACGTTTCACCTTGTAACACGGAAACATTCCCTTCCCCGACCCTGGCAGTCATCATTACTGCTGCTTTTTTTAATTAAAAAAAAGAAAAGAATAAACTGGGTAGGGACGTGTAGCAACGTAAAATGCACTGCCTTTCATTCTCGAAAGGCCCGAGCGACGCCCCTCCTGGAGTGGCAGCTGGAAGGGAGGCCGAGGGGACGGGCCTGGGGCTCTGGGGCCACCGACCCCTGGGCGGGGGTCCCTGGCTGGCTTCCACCTGGGGCACAGTGGGACAGCCACACTCTTACGCGCACAGAGCTCTTGGCCGCTTGGAGGCTGAGGAGGCCCTATGACTGGGATGCTGGCGTTCCCTGAGTCTGGGGCCACCTTCCCAAATCAGCACAGGCAAGCAAATGAGGCGGCTGCTCGGGGAGAGGGACAAAGGCACTGAGTGTCCCGTCTGCCACCATCAGAATGCAACACGCACCCTGCTGCAGCTCAGGCTACCAGCGGCCATCCTCCCCGGGCCCTGCTGCTAGCCAGATCACACCGGCCATCAGGAGCCCGCCCAAGCAGGGGGTCCCAGATAACCCCACTCCCGGCCCCCACCCGCCTCAACTAACTCTTTGGGTTCCTCAAAAGGACAAACTCTTCACGCTGCAATCAGTAAGGATCACACTCCACATCACCGACCATGCCACTGTCCACACCACTGACCATGCCACCAACCACACCACCAGGCACGAGTCCAGGCTGTGCTCCTGCCCCAGGGAAGGACGCCCTCTGCGTCCGTATCAGCAGCCCCCCGTTCCAAGCTGAAGGGTATCCCACCATACACCAGGACGACCTCCTCTCAGTGACATCTGCAAAGGCCCTACTTCCAAGGGTCACATTCACAGGCTCGAGTGGGCACAAATTTGGGGCAGATGTTGTCGAACCTGGCACATTCTTGACCTACAGATGGAGCAGCTGAGGCTGAGCTCTAGGACCACGCACACACGGACTGTCCCAGGGCTGGATCTCACACCCAGGCAGAGCCCCGGAGCGCAGCCTTCCCGCCAGGCCAGTATCCCCCGATATCTCACCCGAGTCTCCCCACACCTCCCGTCCTGGCCACTGCTGCCACATGTCCCCCACACACACCCCCTGCAGCCCCCCACGGTCCACAGGAGGAAGCCCAACTCCTTGGCCTCCAGTCCAGCCGCTCCCCCCAGGACCGGCCCCTCTGCCTGCATCCGCCAGCCTGGCCCGAGCAGCCCAGGGTCCCCAGCAGTCCAAACCACATCACCCTCCCAGACTGGCCTCCCTCCTCTTGTCCCATCAAGGTCCTGAGAGGGAGCCAGCCCCTTCCCTCGCTGGCTCCCTCAGCGGAACGGGTTCTCAGGTCGTCTCTCCCCTCCCCCAACCACCCAGCCTTCCGGAGGCGTGAGCCTTTTTCTCAGGATCCAGATGGCTCCAGAAGAGCACGTGACACCGAGGACCCAGGGGGGACCCACCATGCCCCCGTCGCCTGCGTACCTCCATCCGGAAACACTGCGTCAGGAAACACTCCTCAGCTGTGGCTATTCCAGACCCTGCTCCGGGTCCAGGGCGTGCCGTGAGGACCCAGTGACCCCACGCCTCTGAGAGGCGGCTGGACACCAACAGCACAGAGAGGGTGGCACCTGCTGCTGTGCCCGGAGCAGGGCAGCGGGCTCCGCCACAGCTCTCCCCAACGGCCCAGGGCAGCACCCAGCCAAGCTCTGGGCCCCTCTGCAAGCAGGACGCGGTCCAGCCCAGCAGCCCTGGAACACAAAAGCACGCTGCTCTGGAAACCCACTGAATCGCCTCTGGACACACAAAGGCAGCAGTGTCTAGGGAACCCTGGACTTGAAAACCAAAAGGACTTTTATTTCCCCTTCCCTAGCCCAAGACTAAAGGAAAAAAAAAAAGTGGTCCCTGGTCTCTGGCGCTCGCCCTGAGCCGCGTCTCCTTCACGCCATCGCCGGCCCGAGCTCCCGTCCGAGTTCTGGATCCACGGCCCTGCGCCGGGGCCTGGCTCCAGCCGCCCTCATCCTCTCGCGGTCCCGTGGCTCTCCCGCTGGTCCCTGGATAAACAGTGTCTGCTTTCCCACAGGACGCTCTAAACAATATTCCGGGAAGGCTCATAGATGTTGGGCAAGACCCGCGCGCCTCCCCACCCCCCACAGCGGGCCGCAGCGGACACCTGGCCCTCCGCCAAGTCCAGTCCTCTGGGAAGGCGGCCCCCAAACCTCCACTGAGGTCAGAAGGCCTGGGATCGAGGCTAGACCCCCAGGTGTGGCCACCCAGGGCAGCGGAAGAGCACCTGAGGATGCAGCAACTAGTGGGCTCCATGGCTCTGCGGGGGGAGCAGGAGGGCCAGGGAAGGGCATCAACCCCCGTGCCCCTCAACGCCCCCACGCTTACCGCCACGCACCCGCACCTCCCCCACTGCCCCATTCGGGCAGAGGCCCACAGACCCAAACCAGCACCCAGCTCCCTGGGCCGGCCTGGGTCCCTGGGAGCCAAGGGGCCTGCAGAGGGACCACTGACCCCACCCCACTCCTGCCCAGGCTGCCCTCGTCCCTGCGTGAGCTCGGGATGGTGGCTCACACCTGGTGACCTGAGCCTTCCCCAGATTCCAGGCCTGCCCAGGAGCCCCCTCCCTCACCTTGGACTCACACCTGAGTCCTGCCAGGCTGGGCACAGTCCTTGGGACCCCAAACACTCCCAGCATCGGTACCCTGATGTTCTGCTGACCCTCAACTCTGTGCCCCCACCTGGCCTCCCACAGGCTCCAAGCCGGTTTATCCACTGCCTGCCAGACGCCTCGCCAGCGCGTGACTCTGCCATGCCCGGCACAGAGCTCCAGTCTCAGCGGCACTTTCGCTTGATGGCACCACGCTCACCAGCTGCTGGGGCCAGAGCCCTCCAAGCAGCACTGGTGGTCTCTCTCCTCACACCAGGCCGCACGTCTTGCCTGCCTCCCCCAGCCTGGTCCAGGCAGCCACCAGGCCTCACAGAGCCTCCTCCACGGCGCAGTCAGGGTGAGAGTTTAAAAGCGGAAACCAGACCCCACTGCACCCCTGCTGAACCCCTCCGAGGACTTCGCTGCACCTGGGTAAGGGAACGGCTCACCTGCCACCCTCACCGCCCCTTCTTCCCCCAACACTCCGGCCCTGGCGATGCCCTCAGGACCTCTCCTGCCACCTCATCTGTCCCTGCTGCAGGACCCGGCACATCTGCTCCGGGGATGTCCTCCGTTCCTGCTCCTTCTCCTGCTAGCATCACCCCTTTAATTCCACCATCCCATCTGGTTTGATTTGGCGTCCTCGGAACTTCCTGATTGCTCCCTTGTTTAGGATTTGTGCCCACCCCCCACCCCACCCCGCGAGAACAAATCCTCCCTGAGGGTGGGGGCCTCCTCTGGTTTAACTCCGGCCCCAGTGGGCTCCACAGGGGCTGCTCAGGCGGCCTGAGCGGCCGACACCAGGTCTTCGTCAGCAGAGCTTGGCTGGCAGTGGGCGGCAACAAACACCTGTTCCGGGAATGAGGGGCCGCAGCTCCGAGGGCCCATCTGCTCAGGCCACCCCAGGCGCATGTTGCGTGGAGCTGTCCTCCAGCAGAGACCTCACGGCGAAGGGACATCCAAGGGACTTTGCCCTTGGGCCCTGCCAAAGCACATGGCCCCCAAATCCACAAAAACTTACAAAAAAATTTAACTGCAAGGCTTCAACGATCTGGGATGTTTCTCCGGGAAGAGGCTTGACTTTCTTCCCTGGGTGAGGCATCTTCGGGGCCTTTCAGGTCAGGCCAAAACCCCCTGTAGGGGGAACTGTGCTGTCTGCGCTGTAGCAGGAAAGCTCTCTGGGGGGCTAAAGGGCCGGCACAGGGCTGGGCACACCCTGGGGTGCCGCCGATACCAGCCTGAGATACCACCAGCTCTGAGACCCCACGGCCAGGGTGGCCCAGCGGGAGGACGGACAGCTGGGAGGGGCTGCGTGGGCCTCCACTTCCTCCTCCGTGACCTGGGAGCCTGCCCACGGCGCAGGGAGGAGCTGGTTAATGTGTAAGGGCCGGCCCCCGAGGAACCTACGTGCACAGGCATATGTCACACGTTTATTACGCGCAGCAGAGGTTGATACATAATAGTAAAACATGCGACGCTCTCCAGCGTAAGCTCTGGCAGCCAGCTGAGTCTCCAGGATGCTCGACTCCCGTAGGCACAACCAACCTACAGCCGCCACGGTCAGCGGGCGGGACAGGGAGGCTGGCTGGTGTTTTTGTTCATGTTAACAAACCACAACAGAGGTAAAAAAGGAAGCTATGTGCCAAAACCTTGTTAGTCTCTAAACAAAATAGAAACAAATTATCTGGACAACTAAAAATATATAGAAAAAATTAGCCGGGCATGGTGGTGCACGCCTGTAGTCCCAGTTACTTGGGAGGCTGAGGCAGGAGGATCGCTTGAGCCCAGGAGTGTGAGGTCGCTGTGAGCTAGGCTGACGCCACGGCACTCACTCTAGCCCGGGCAACAGAGTGAGACTCTGTCTCAAAAAAAAAAAAAAAAAACCTTGTTAGTCTGACATGAGGAGATTTCTTGCTGAAAGAGCTAAGTGTTTTCTAACGGCAGAGTATTCCCCTCGTGTCTGCAGCCCATTCATCGTGAACGGCTACAGACATCGCACAATTTTAACTTCAATCTGCATATCAGCATCGTCCCCGTCACTTTCCTAAGTCCAGATGAGCCACACGACCAGCAGCCACGCCCTGATCTGCAGCAGCTGCCATTCCCTGGGCGTAAACACTCCCGCTCTGGCCACTGCGTGACGTCCCGCCACACAGACACAACAGACCAGATAACCCCAGGAGCACACGCGACAGTAAAATGGAGGGAAATAATTCAGAAATGATGAGTTTCGAGTATTTAATACGTTCATTTTCAAGGTAATTTATCTAACTACAAGTTTATATACTTTCATTTATATTAATGGCCAACTCACGAAATTCCTGAAAACTTAGCAGCCAGCTCCAGATCCCTCCTCTCAAGCTGTCATAGCCACGGAGGGAGCAGGGCTCAGTGAACACTGGCACCCTCCCACTCACCCGCCCCCTCCCCGACAGGCTCAGGGGACAGACACACGAAATAGGAGATAAGGTCTGGATGTAAGACCAGAGTTCCTGGGGGCTCAACGGACAGCTTCTCAGACAGCCACACCTACATGGGGCCAGGCAGGCCATCTCCAGGGCAGGAGGGGGCACCTGGGAACACTGCACCTGAGCCTCTGGGGGTGGGCTGTCCCTGACTCGGGGGCCCCCCATCCTCAAACCCTGTCCTCATCACCACACAGGTGCCCATAGGAGGTGCCAGGATCTCCCCTGCCTCCGGGACGCTGTCCAAGCCATCTCTCTGTCCAAGCCGGCCTTCCCAGCCACAGGGTGACTCACCTGCTCCAAGCTGCCCCCACCCTCAGTCACATCACCCTGCCAGGGGGAGCTACGGCCACCATCACACACCACCGCAGCCGAGGGATGGCTAAGGGGGCACTCGCCTAACCAGAGTCAGGGATCAAATCCTAGCCCTCCTATGCCTCCAGCACCAAGCGTGGGCTGTGCCACATCTGTTCCAATGCCCTAAGTACCACGGGGCGTGGAGAACCCTCGGGGAGGGGCCTCCGTGCTGAGCTACTCCACCTGACCATCGCGAGCACAGGTGGTGCGGCAGCTGGCAGCAGCCCACAGCCAGACCCTGACGACCACAGCCGCAGACCCCAGGTAGGGGTCCCTCCCCAGACAGCTGTTAGAGGACAGCGTCAAACAGTGCAGGGAAGGACTCAGCAACGTGCCTGGCCAGCAGTAACAAAGGGAAGAGCTGCCGTTAAAATGACACGTGGAGAAACTGAGGCTGGGGAGGCAGGGTAAGACAGAAGTGGCACTACAGGAACATTACCTGTCTCCACTGGACCCCACAGCCTGAGCTTGCCTGAACCCCAGGACAGCCTCAGGGGCATCTCAGCACCAGCCGCCCTGCCCTTCCTAGCATATGCCTCTATTAATGCATTCATCATACTGTGCGATGACTCACAGGCCCCTCTGCCTATAAGCTTGGGTGGGGAGCCTGGCAGAGTGATCACACGGATATTTATTTAAGCGAACAAAGCTAGCAAGAGAACCTACACTTTAGCAGCAAGTAGGCAAGCAAAAACCTCTGTGTTATATATGCAAATAAACTAAGCTATAGGAAACATACATAAGAATTCATTTCTAGTGGAAGCATTGCTTTTCCCAACTCTCTCCACCACTCTTAGCAACCAGGGCTTGGGAAGATCCAGCCAACAGGACAGCTGGAAGGAAGCACCTTCCGGATTCCCCGGATTCGTCACGTCTTCCTGCCACTGCCCTTGTCCAAGTTCCTGAAAGCCGAAAGCAGTGCTGGCTCCCAGCTGCCAGGGAGCAGGCTGCTCTCCAAGCATGTTTCAGCATCAAAGGCCGCGACAGAGAGAATGCGCAGGACGCAGCTCCCGAGCAGGGCTCAGCAAATCTGTTCCGTAAAAGGCCAGGTAGAAAGTATGTGAGGTCTGGCGGCCATACGGCCTCTGCACAACTTCCCAGCCCTGCTGGAGTGCACAATGGGCAGCTGTGTGCCAACAAACCATCAGTTACAAAAACAGGAGGAAACAGGCGGCAGTGGGTGGGGTCTGGCCTCTGAGCCATAGCTGACTATCCGCTGTCCTAGGGCCATAAATGGCTAGCAGAACAAGAACTCTCAAATAGGTCCCAGAACTCACTAACCCACTAAAGCCAGTCAGGACAGGGAACGGTGGCTCACGCCTATAATCCCAGCACTTTGGGAGGCCGAGGCATTAAGATCGTTTGACGCGAGGAGTTTGAGACCAGCCTGAGCAACATAGCAAGACCCCATCTCTACAAAAAATAGAAAAATTAGCTGGGTGTGGTGGTGCGCACCTATAATCCCAGCTACTCGGGAGTCTGAGGCAGAAGGATGGCTTAAGCCCAGGAGTTCAAGGCTGTAACGAGCTATGATCGATCCACTGCACTC